AGCAGCTTTTATTTTGTACAGGTATGTATTTTATCTTCTTCGGTTCGGGTTTATGTGAATTGCTAGTTATATGTTGACGTTGCTTCATTGTTTGTGGGAGGTTTAAAAGCCTCCCTATTAGGGGAAAAAGTTAAAGTTTCTTGTGTTTAACCAATTAATTGATAATTTTGTTGGTTATGCATCTTATTGTTTTACTTACGGCACTTATTTGGCTTATATGTGCACAACTTCGACAGCGACCGCTAATGATGCGGGGGGGGGGGGTGGGGCAGCGCCGGCATTATAAGCGGCGACTAATGATGGCTTATATGGCTCGGCTTTTTACATAAGCACTGTCGGGATCACATCGTAATATAACAAATTGAAAAGTATGAAAATACTCCAACACCCCCCTGCACACAGTCAACAATTTACCACAGATGGTTACCTTCCAGTCACAAGTTAGGTCCAGGGGGAAATCAGTTGTCCAGTTTTCCCGAACCCGTTACTATGAATAGGGCGGGGGGTTTAACGAGGACATTCTTACAGAGCATGTAATCCTTTCAATTTACATTCAACGATTGTTGACAGGAAGTTGTTGTTGCTATGGAAACAACCTGATGGAGATTAACGGAGGAAAATTCATATCTACATATAAAGACGGAGAAAGTAAACGATAACGTTTATGGTTAAGTGTTAGCACCCCCCGAAGAGGCACAAGCTCTTACGTTGATATTGAAAAAAAATACGAATAACGAAATTGAAACCCGAATAGTACTCCAACGAACAAATATTCGGATATTCGGGTACAGCCCTATGCTACACACAGAGGCACTGCACTTTAGGATTTATGAAGTTCTCCAGTCGTATGTGAGGGATGCATTGATTTAATTTAATGTAACGCAGAGCAATGCCGAACTAATGGTTCGACAAATACAAGGTCACAGAGGGTCATATTATACCACAGAAGTCTCCTCTGGTCCGTTTTCAATCCACATGTTAACACTCTCCACCTCTAACATATCCTTCTCTTCCTCTCCTCCAACACACACAATCATTCATCCCATTCCTCTGCATCCAGCAGGTGTGTCACAGAGACAAAGGGTCACCTGTCCGTAAGCGAACACGGTGGCGTTGTAGCCCTCCAAGCAGCCCTCGATCAGCTGCTCCGTGCAATCGGAGTACACGGTATCCTGCTGGGAGTCCATGTCGAACATGTAGTCGTAGGTGAAGGACCTGTCCTTCCCCAGGATCACCTGCGGCTCCCCGGGCATCACGTACGTACAGATGTGACATCCCTCGATCTTCTCCCGGGCCAGCTGAGGACGGATCCTGCAGAGAGAGGAGGAAACAGAGAGAGATGAGTGATGGGGAGGAACACAATGAGGAAGGGGGGTTTATTGGGTACAGTTATAATACAGTACAACACATCAGCCACATAACATACCTTTACAAAGCTTAACATTGCGGTTTATGGGTATTCTAAGTAATTGAATAAGTTAATTATGTAGCCTTGGGAGGGGAATCTTTTGTAGAAAAGTCTGAATGAAGTCAACATTTTTAAATACATTTAGAGATTTGTTGTAACACCTAAAGTAGAAGAGTCTTAGAAAATGTCAGACTTTTCTCCCATACAATTTTCCATCCATTAGGATTGAACTGAAGACAGAATTGGTCCACACAGAAATGGTAGCGCTGTATTGGCATATTTGTGACACCTGACCTTTGAAACACTTTAAATAAATCCCCTTTGACATCTAACTGTCATTCCAAGAATCCACGGTGTTATAACCGTCCTAAATCCCAGGAACATACTGAACTTGTTTTAGTAATTACAAAATGTTTTGATCTGCTAAAGATTAGTTTTTTTCAGGACTGCAGGGTCAACATCCTAATCTGATCCAATACTTTGTACCATAAAAGCTGCCAGCTGGGTTAATATGGACTGACTGTGTGTGTGTGTGTGTGTGTGTGTGTGTGTGTGTGTGTGTGTGTGTGTGTGTGTGTGTGTGTGTGTGTGTGTGTGACAGTAATGATGTCCTTCATGTTGGCCTCAATGAATAGCAATTTGTATGAACACATTGAAATGAGCCATAATGAAAAGTCTCTC